GAGTAAAAAGGAGAGGCACCCCCAGAAGCCTGACCCTTACCTCCTACAGAGTGTTCCCTCCTCCCACCTCTCACCACACACACACACACACACACACACACACACACCATAGTCCACATTCCCCTTTCTGTTGAAGGAAAGGACAGGGCCAAAGTTCATGAGCAGCAGTTACACAATCACCAGCCTAATAACCAGCCTCCTCTAATGCTTTCTTGAGACTGAACTACAAAAATGCCCACGAGCCTCACCTAGCCCAGCCTTCTGCACACACTGCTCTGAGGGAAAGGGTGCCAGCCTGGTGGTGGCACACAAAGGTCATGGAATGTTCCCTGGCCACCGCCTCCTACTTGTGAATCCTGAGTCAGTTTGCTCCACTTTTTCTGCTAGGGAAAGGCAAATCAGATTGGAGAGGAAGTCCTTCAATCCTGCCAAACAAACTCAGGATTTAGCAGCTGCTGCCCAACTCTGGGGGGGGGCGGGGGTAAGGAGGGTCCATGAGGCTTGAACTCTGGGCCTGGGCGCTGTCCCTCAGCTCTTCAGCTCAAGGCTAGTGCTCTACCACTTGAGCCAGACCTCTACTTTCAACTTTTTGGTAGTTAATTAGAGAGAAGAATCGCATAGATTTTGGCTTTGAACTGTGATCAAATCTCAACCTCTTGAGTAGCTGGGATGATAGGTGTGAGTCACCAGTGCCTTGCTCAAGAACTGTATTAAGAGCAGGGGAATGGGATTTCTTTCCCTTGCAAATCTTACATGGTGAGCTACCTCAAGCCAAAAGCAGGAGAGATAAGGTAGGAGATGAAGACTTTAGGAGAGGAGGAAGGCCAGAGGTTCTGGATGAGTGAAAATAGCCAGGAGACCAGGGAGATGGTAAATGCGAGGAGTCATCTGCACAAGGCTTCCCCTCTAGGTCAACTGCATGTGAGAGATTGATTTCTTTTCTATTTTTTAGTACTGAAGTTTGAACTCAGAACCTTTAACTTGCTGAACAAGTATTCTACCACTTGAGCCACACATCCAGGCCCCCGCTCTTTTTTCCTTTTCTTAGGCCTTTTTATTTTATTTTTCAAATAGCATCTCATATGTGTTTTGTTTTGTTTTGTTTTTGTCAGTCATGGAGCTTGAACACAGGGCCTGGGCACTGTCCCTGAACTTTTCTGCTCAAGGCTGGTATTCTACCACTTTCAGCCACAGTGCCACTTCTGGTCTTCTGTCTCACAGACTTCCCTGCCCAGGCTGGCTTTGAACCCCAATTTTCAGATCTTAGCCCCCTGAATAGCTAGGATTACAGGCGTGAGCCACCAGCACCTGGCTCCATCCAGTATTTTAAAAAAATTAGCAAATAACTTTAGTTGTATAAGTTATTCCTACTAAGATGTACTTTGGGAGCTAGGAATGTGGCTTAGGGGTAGAATGCTTGCTTAGCATGCCTGAAACCCTGGGTTCGATTCCTCAGTACCACATAAACAGAAAAAGTCAGAAGTGGTATTGTGGCTCAAGCGGTAGAGTGCTAGCCTTGAGCTAAAGAAGCTCAGGGACAGTGCCTAGGCCCTGAGTTCAAGCCGCAGGACTGGGGGGGGGGGTTGTACTTTGACTGATGGGCCCTGTGCCCCAGTGTAGCAGGTATCACTGATGTATTACCACACCCAGCTATAAGACTGACTTTGATGGCATCATTATGACCTTGCATGGTAAAAATGATAGATAAGAAGTTGGCCCTGGTGGATCACACCTATTATTCTAGCTACTCAAGAACCTCAAATTTAAAAAAAGAACCTCAAATTCGAGGGTGACAGTTCAAAGCCAGCCTAGGCAGACAAATCTGAGACTCCTATCTCCAATTAACCAGCAAAAAGCTAGAAGTGGAGGTTGGCTAGAAGTGGTAGAGCTCCAGCTGTGAGTAAAAATGCCAATCATGAGCACAAAGTCCTAGTTCAAGCCCCAATATAGGCCCGTGCCCCCCCCCACATACACACACACACACACACACCACACACACACACACACACACACACACACACACACACACACACACACACACACACACACACACTGATGACAGAGGGCAGAACCAAGAGGAATTGAGGGACATTGGGAATAAGGGAAGCGTTCTGCTCAGGTCACCACTGTCTTCTTTTTTTTTTCCCGGGGCTTGACCTCACGGCCTGTCCTTAAGCTTCTTTGCTCAAGGTTAGCACTCTACCACTTGAGCCACAGCGCCACTTCCAGCTTTTTTCTTTTTGCTTATGTGGTGCTGAGGAATCGAACCCAGGGCCTCAGGCATGCAAGGCAAGTGCTCTACCACTGAGCCACCTTCCCAGCCCCTCTCTGTTTTGTTTTTGTGCCAGTACTAGTGCTTGAACTCAGAGTTTGGGCACTATCCCTGAGCTTTTTTGCTCAAGACTAGCACTCTACCACTTAAGCCACAGCTCCACGTTTTCCTTTTTGGTGGTTAGTTGGAAATAAGAATCTCACAGACTTTCCTGCTCTGGCTGGCTTCCAACTGCCATCCTCAGATCTTAGCCTCCTGAGTATGAGCTCCACTATAGTTTGGAAATACTATAAGCCATATTTCTTTCTTTCCTTCTCTTTCTTCCTTCCTTCCTTCCTTTTCTTTCTTTCTTTCCTTCCTTCTTTATTTTTTTTATGCCGGTCCTGAGGCTTGAACTCAAGGCCTAGATCCTCAAGGCTGGTGTTCTACTACTTGAGCCACTTCTGGTCTTTTCTGAATAGCTTATTAGAGGTAAGAGTCTCACAGACTTTCTGCCCCAGCTGGCTTTGAACTGTGATCCTTAAATCTCAGCCTCCTGAGGGAGCTAGGATTACAGGCATGAGCCACCAGCACCTGGCTTTTTCCTTCCTTTTTGGAAACAATAAATTTATATTAGTGATCCATACAGTTTGTTTTTGTTTTTTTGGTCAGTCATGGGCCCTGAACTCTTGGCCTGGGCGCTGTCCCTCAGCTCTTCAGCTCAAGGCTAGCACTCTACCACTTGAGCCACAGCGCCACTTCCGTTTTTTTTTTCTTCTGCTTATGTGGTGCTGAGGAATCGAACCCAGGGCCTCATGCATGCAAGGCAAGCACTCTACCACTGGGCCACCTTCCCAGCCCCTATACAGTTTTTTAGTTCAAAGAGATTCTTCACTGGGCACTGGTGGCTCATACCTGTAATCCTAGCTAGTCAGAAGGCTGAGATCTGAGTATCAAGGTTTGAAGCCAACCTAGGCAGGAAGTCTGTGAGACTTTTTTTTTAATTTTATTTGTGAAGATACTGTACAGAGGGGTTACAATTACATGGGCAGGAAGTCTGTGAGACTTTTATCTCCAATTAACTACCAAAAATCCAGAAGTGGAGCTGTGACTCAAGTGGTAGAGTGCTAGCCTTAAGCAAAAAAGCTCAAGAACAGGGCCTAGGCCTGAGTTATCTGACAGAGAGAGAAAGAAAGACAGACAGAGACAGACAGAGAAAGGTCTAGGCTTGTTAGTAGACCTCTACCTTCTTGCACCAGAAGCAACAAGTGGTTCACAAAGCATTCTATAAGCTGCATTTGTCCCCTTGAAGGCCTCTCGCCCTTTCTCCTGGCAATGCTCTCAAGCCCAAACTGTACCCTTTTCCCTATCCAATAAAAGCCTCATATTAGAGCTTTCATCCAAGGAGATGAAAGCAGCTTCTGCAGACAGGGCGTCAGCAGATTTCCTCCAGAGTGGGGACAGGGGTTTCCCTGGGCAAGCAGCCAGGGCTGAGGAAAGGGGCCCCTGGGTCTAAGGTAGAAACTAGTTTGGGAGGGTTCTCTTGTCCTATCTCTGGTCCAAACCTTCCACCACTGGCTTCTCAGGAAGGGCAGCCTCAGAGGAAGTTAACGGGATCAGGCCTCACACCTGCCTTGTACCCAGCTCTTCTGCGTGGTCAAGGGCTGTCTCCAGGAGGGTATGCAATCTGCATAGTCACCGACTCTTCGACTCTTTGAATCTTCTGGCTGAAGTAGCTGAACTTTTCCAAGATAGACAAAGACCCTGAGGGTTTTCTAACTGTCACAGCTTCTGGGCTAGGAACGGTGGCATGTGTTAATCTTTCCTCAGACTCTGCCCTCCAGCCCCTGGGGCCTGTTGAGGCACTGGACTGGGAGATGAGGGGGAGGCACTCCACTTTCACTTCCCGAGGTTTACGAGGGTAATCGAAGATAATAATGGCCACTGCCTCCTTTCTTGTACTTCAAAGCTCAGCTCGGGGCAAACAAACTGAATGGTTCTGGGAAAAGCAGAACCTGAATCCACCCTCAAGCCTGGCTCTGTTGGGACAGCTATGGCAGGAAGAAAGTTGAGGAAGACAGTCCTGGCTAAGAAAGACTATGTCTTCTGGAGCATCAGTGTCTGAAATAGGACAATAAGGCAGAACAGACCCTGGCTGGGAAAGAGGGACGATTGGGCTCACAGTCCTGGATTCCCCACAGTGCCAAGAGACCTGACCAAATACGTAGATGATCATTTGGAGACACACAAACGTGTGTATATGCTTACACAAGCATTAATACCCGACAAGCATACAGCCACACACAAACAACAAATCCAGATGTAGGTATGTTCACACAGACATACAGTCACTCATAAGCACAAGTTCACATGCAAGCACAGATAGAATTCATGTAGGTATCTACACAAATGCACATGTGCGGGAACACATAGGTACCTAGGAGCATGCGCATGCGCACACACACACACACACACACACACACACACACAAATGCCAAATGCAATGCCCAGGCACCCACTGAAGGCACAGACCTAGATGCATGTGCCCAGGTTCCCACACATAACGCACAAACACACACCCTTGAACTCAAACACTAGTGGCCAGGCTGCTTGAGCTCACTCTGGCCAGCTGCCCTGGGAAGTTCATCCTGGACTGCAGCCCAGTCCCTCCCCTCGCCTCACCCCACCTCCCTAACTGCTTGTATAAATTCCCTCCCTTTGCCCCTTCCACAACACAGCCCAGCTGTGACACCCGGACAGCTTGCCTCACCTCACCTGGCTTCTGCCCACTCCTGGCAAACCCATCAGGACCAAATTGGATCAGCCAGCAGCAGCATGGGTAAGACTGTGCATTGCCCACCCTGTGCCCGCCCCTAGTTTGAAGGGTCTTCCCTATGGAAATGACCCAAAACCGGGGGAGGGAGCAGTTAGAGGAGAAAGAGCTGGACTGATCTTTGTTTTTTTGTTGTTGTTGTTGGTCGTGGGGCTTGAACTCTGAGCCTGGGCGCTGTCCCTCAGCTCTTCAGCTCAAGGCAAGCGCTCTACCACTTGAGCTACAGCGCCAATTCCGGTTTTCTGGTGGTTTATTGGAGATAGGAGTCTCACGGTCTTTCCTGCCCAGGCTGGCTTTGAACCGCGATCCTCAGATCTCAGCCTCCTGAGTAGCTAGGATTACAGGCATGAGCCAACCAGCGCCCGGCCTGGACTGATCTTTGTACCACAGACACACACAGGTGCATCTGCATATGTATGCATGCTTACACACACAAAGCACAACTCATTGAACCTAGACAGCTCACACACACCAGCTTAGCCCAAGTTCTGAAGAAGGGCAGAGGGATGGCTGGGAAGGGTGGTCCTGGGCTTCTCCTGCTCATTCAGCAGGAGAGGGGCTTCCTAGAGCAAATGATGGGGGGATTCATAGACAGTCCTGGTTTTAGCCTTATGCTGGCTTTTGGCTGGGAGGATTGTAGGGAATGCCAGCCTTTGGGGTTTGGGTCTCTAGCTGCTTCAAACTACCAGTCCCACTGGAAACAAAGTGAGTCCCCCAACCTCCACCCTCGCTTGCTCCCTGTGGACCTGTTTCCTTATCCCCTTGGAGCTGGCTTTTCTCTGGGCTGACATAGAAAACCCACTGAGCTTTCCCTGGGTTTATTGTGAAGTCAAAATGCGCAAATACCTTGCTTGAGATGCTGGGGGGGCAGTTGTAACCCCCAGAAACTGAAGAGATGAAATACTCCCTGCAATTGAGTAGCCTTAGGGTCTAACCTTAAGGAAGATTGAGAGGGATGAGGGACGGAGCTGCTGGGGAGATGCTTTCATGGCACCTTTACTTCTCTCTCACTCTCTTTATAGTGTTTGTTTATAAATCTCCCTCCTGTTTCCAGCAACTTCTTTCCCCTCCTCCTGGAATTACATGCCAAGCCCTGCTATAGCAACAAGCCTCCCAAATCCCTAATTCTATTTCTTGGGACTGGTATGTTTGCTTGCTCTCTCCCTCCCTCCCTCCCTCTCCCCACCCCTCTCTCTCTTCCTCCTTCCCTCCTTCCCTCCTCCTCTCCTTCCCTCCTTCCCTCCCTCCCCCCCCTCCCTCCCCGGCCCTCGCACCCCTCCCCCCCCCAGCATGGAATATTGCCTAATACACTCTCCCTCCTCTGGCAACCTACTCATATTTTTACAATCTTTATTTCAGCCACATGAAAAACTTTTGCTTACATTGTAACTCATATTTCTACACATTTCTTTTTTGTATTTTCTTACTTGGAAAAGTGCTGTGATTATGTTTGGTAAAAATCCATCTGGATAAGTTGGTTGGTTATATTATCTTCTCCTTTGGGGAAATGAAAGAAAGTGGAACTGGAAGCCAGGCTTCTGGAATCGGATGCTGTTGTTGCCTCCTGGTCTCCGAAGTTATTTGGCTCTCAGGCACCAGTAAAGGCTCCACTCTGGCTACTCCTGGATTCTCACTTGTGGCCATGAGACCTGGCAGGAGCTGGTGCCAAGTCCTGTGAACTCCACTCCGGGATTTCTTTCGGCCTGCAGTAAACAGTCTCCCCAGTACGTCCTTCAGCTCCTCCTCCTGGCAGGTCCTAAACTTCCCAGCTTAGGGTCCTGGCCACTGTCCTTCAGAGGCAACTTTGGTCCAGTGGGTCAACATGACCTTTCTTCCCAGACTCCAGGTTCTGAGTGGGCTGTTCCCATACAGGTGGAGGGGAGGGGAGAGAAAGTGGACTGAGGACACCTAGCCTTGACCGACCCCCCCCCCCCAATCAGTTATATAATCCAGGATGTGGTCAGGAGCCTGGCTCAAGACCAGAGAGAGAGAGAGAAGCAGGAAGCATGCCAGGCCCTGCAGTGGAAGTGTATTGGTAGAGGGTGTTGAGCCCAACACCTTCCAACACCCTACCACCCTACTTTCTTTTCTTTCCTTTTTGTCTGTCATGGGGCTTGCACTGGGGGTCTGGCTGCTGTCCCTGAGCTTCCCCCCCCCCCGCTACACCCCCCCTCCCCCCCTGTTGTGGGGCTTGAACTCAGGTCATGGGTGCTGTCCCTTGAGCCCTTTTACTCAAGCCTAGTGCTCTACCCCTTTGAGCCATACTTCTACTTCAGGTGAAGCTAGGATTACAGATGTGAGCTAGGGGTGCCCTGCCCTGCCCTGCCCAAGCTCAACCCGTTCCTTTCTCCCTAAATACTGCTCCCTAAGAACAGCTCCAAGCAGGCTGCAGGAGGCTACACACGTGACTACCCCACCTTGTCTAAAGCCTTCTAGAACTCTTTGTGGGTTTTTTGCTTTTTTTTTTTTTTTTGTCAGTTGTGGGGCCTGAACTCTGAACTCTGGGCCTGGGCGCTGAGGAATGGAACCCAGAGCCCCATGCATGCGAGGCAAGCACTCTACCAATGAGCCACCTTCCCAGCCCTGTTTTGTTTGTTTTATGGTGCTAGGGATTAGTCTAGAGTCTTGCATATGGCAGATAAGTGCTCTGTCCCTAAGCTATATCTCTAATCCTTATGTTTTTGAGACTAGGTCTTGCTACGTGGCCCAGGCTAGCCTTGAATTCTCCACCCTCTTGCCTCAGCCTCCCCGGTGCTGGGTTTATTGGAGAGCACTACTACACCTAGTATATCATGTGGTAGTCTCATTATTCTCTTTCCATAGATGAAGTGGCAATTGAGGCCAGGGATTAGGTAACTTGCCCAAGATCCTATGGCTAGGCAGTAATAGGCTGTTAGGACGTGAGTTGTGGCTGTAACTATAGCACATAATAGTAGGCATAAGCACAGCCCCTACTGTGCTTGGCTGGGCTTGCCTCCTAGGCCCTACCAGAGTATTTATCCACCTTCAGGTCTGGACCTTCCGGCTCTTCTGCCACACCCTCACAGGGTAGGGAAGGGCAGGAAGGGGGGCTGGAGTGAAGACCTGGGCAGCATTGGGTCTGCCCAAGCCTGCCAGGTATGTAGAAAAGAGAGCCTTCATCCCCCTGAGCAGGCCCCCTGCCAATATGTCCCATTGTTTCCACAGCTACCAAATGTTCCAAGTGTGGCCCTGGCTACCCCACTCCTCTGGAGGCCATGAAAGGTAACTGCCCAATGTCTGAGCACCACTGACCCTCCACTGACCCCATGGTTGCTAGGGTTGGGGAACTTCAGGCCTGGCTTCCCTCCCTTGACCCACACAAGACTGCCATCCTTTCCTATCCTACCATCCCTACTGGCTGTTTTCTACCCCAGGACCCCGTGAAGAGATTATCTACCTACCCTGTATTTACCGAAACACGGGCACCAAGGCTCCAGACTATCTGGCTACAGTGGATGTGGACCCCATGTCTCCCCAGTATAGCCAGGTGAGGCAGGGTGGGGATGTTGGCATCTGTGAGGCTCCACCCCTAGGCCTGGTGCCAGAAGACTTCCCTCCCTTAACTAGATCCTTCTTTGTTCTCGGCATTCACTGCACAAGGTTGCCCCCATCCCCCCCACCCCTGCCATGGGACAAGGGGAGTGCTGAAATCCAGCCTGTGGGGGGGAGCACCTTTTCCAAAAGAGCACCCCCTCCTTGCCCCCTCCATCCTAGGTCATCCACCGGCTCCCCATGCCCCACCTGAACGACGAGCTGCATCACTCAGGATGGAACACCTGCAGCAGCTGCTTCGGGGACAGCACCAAGTCCCGCAACAAACTGGTGCTGCCCTGCCTCATCTCCTCCCGCATCTACGTGGTGGATGTGGGCTCTGAGCCCCGCGCCCCGAAGCTGCACAAGGCATGTCCTCTGCTCTTCCATCTGGGAGACCCTAACCACCCAGGGCGGGAAGTCACCCCTAACCAGGCTGCGGCTCACTCAGGCACAGGGTCTTGCTCAGCAGCAGGGAGGGGGAGGGAAGTCTGAAGAAGAGTTACCTAGGCACATTGATCTCGCATCACCCAGTTGTTCAGCCAGAATGCCAGAGGGAAGAGGCTTCTTTTACAGAGAAAGAAGAGATCCAGTTTGTCGTCTCTCCATGGCCCTCACCCCCCACACACCCAATTAAGAGCTCAGAGTTTCCCTGAGCTGGAGCCTTCAGACCTTCCTCTTTTTTTTCTTTTTGCCCATCCTGGACCTTAAACTCATGGCCTGGGCACTGTCCTTGAGCCTCTCTGTGCTCAAGGCTAGCACTCTACCACTTGAGCCACAGCTCCACTTTTGGCTTTTTCTGTTTATGTGGTACTGAGGAATCAAACCCAGGGCTTCATGCATGCTAGGCAAGCACTCTACCACTGAGCCACATTTCCAGCCCCCAGACCTTCCTCTTAACACAAAGCTAACACTGGCATTTACCCCACTGGGAGGACATCTTTAGCAGTCTGACTTTCCCTTGCTGTTCTGTAGAAGTTACCAGATTGAATCTGTACCATGTACCTGTAGGAACAGAGTTGTTGAAATTTCCTTCAATTTTTTTTCTTTTTGTTGTTGCTGAAATTTCCTTCTATTTGCGTGTGTGTGTGTGTGTGTGTGCGCGCGCGCGCACACGCACACGCACACGTGTATGTACCAGTCCTGGAGCTTGAACTCAGGGCCTGGGCACTGAGAATTTTTTTGATTAAGGGTAGAATTCTATCGTATGAGCCACAGTTCCACTTCTGACTTTTTGGTGGTTAATTGGAAATAAGAGTCTCACAGACTTTCCAGCCTGGGCTGGCTTTGAACTGGGATGCTCTGATCTCAGCCTCCTGGGTAGCTAGGATTACAGGTGTGAGCCACTGGCACACGGCTCCTTTGATTTTTTTTTTAAAGGAAAAGTGCCCATAAAATAGGGATGTATGGAGATAAAGAATGGGGACTCTAGGCTAGGTAATGTTCTGACCCCATTCCACATCCCTGTCTAGGTTGTCGAGGCCAAGGAGGTACAAGCTAAATGTGACCTGAGCTACCTGCACACCAGCCACTGCCTGGCCAGTGGGGAAGTGATGATCAGCACCTTGGGAGATCCCAACGGCAATGGCAAAGGTATCTGCTGGCACTGTGAGCCTGTGAAAACTTCTGCAGCTATGAAGGTGGGGGGGGGGTTGTTTGTATGTGGAAAATAGTTCCCAAGGTTGGGGAGCCATGGGATAGAGATTGGAGGAGATCCAGCTGGTGAGGCCCATCCAATGTTTTGTAAGTTGTATCTGTTATTCCTACAAAGATGTACTTTGACTGATGGGTTCAGTTAGAAGTATAGCCAGAATGGGCTGGATGCAGATGGCTTACACCTGCCAGCCTAACTACTTAGGAGGCTGAGATTAGAGGGTCACAGTTCAAGACCAGCTTTGGTAGCAAAGTTTGAAAAACACCTCCTCAATCAACAGCTGGGCACAATGACACATATCTATCATCCTAAGCTAAAGGGAAAGCTAAGATCAGGATGGTCATGGGTAGGCCAACCTTGGTAGAAAAGTCTGTGATACTCCATCACAAACACAGCTAGATATGTTAACACTCACCTGTCATAACCGGGCAGGAAGTAAGACCATGCCTCAAAAATAACCAGTGCATCCGGGCACTGGTAGCTCAAGCCTGTAATCCTAGCTACGCAGGAGGCTGAAATCTGAGAATCATAGTTCAAAGCCAGCCCGGGCAGGAAAGTCCATGGGACTCTTATCTCCAATTAACCACCAGAAAACCAGAAGTGGCGTTGTAGTTCAAGTGGTAGAGTGCTCGCCTTGAGCTGAAGAGCTGAGGGACAGTACTCAGGCCCAGAGTTCAAGCCCTATGACTGACAAAAAAATGAAATAAAATAACTAGTGCAAAAGAGGATGAGAGGAGTGGCTCAAGTGATTCAGAACTGCCTAGCAAGCACAAAGTCCTGAGTTCAAACCCTAGCTAGTACTACCACACACACAAAAAGTTCTGTTATGAGAAATATACATGGAGACATGGCCCCAGAAAATACAGACACTTAATACCAACCTTTGTGGATTATAGGCAAGTTTCTCAGTCCTTGAGGATCTTTATCTCATTTATGGTCACGATCAAAACTGACACTTATAAAATGTCTATTGTGTACCAGCTAGAACCTATGAGGTAGGTGCCATTAAAATTCATTTTGCAGGTGAGAAAATGAAGTCATGGGCTGGTTAAGTGACTTACCCAAGGTCACCCAGCCAATAAATTACAGAGCTGGAACTCAAATCCAGCAATTTGGCTCCAGAATCACTCCTTTGTTGGTAGTACTGTGGTTTGCAATACAAGGTTTCCTGGCTCAACAGGAGACCACACCCCCAGCTTTTCCTTTATTCTTTTGTTGAGAGCCATGCTATCCTCAAACTGTAAGATCATCCTGAGTGTCGGAATCACAGGCACGCACCATCACACTTCACTTCTGGCTCCAGAGTCTATGTCCTAATTGCCACTATGTATTGCCTCTCTCAGATTTCACCAAAGACCTCCATTCCAGCTAATGGCTCTGCACTAGATGTCACCTGACTACGTTGTCCAGATGGAAAAGATACAACCTTAGTAAGCTAGGAGTAACTTAGTAAGCCTACAAGTAGACAGCTGGTTGCATTTGCAAAGATGTATCAAGGAACCATAACATACTCAGCAAAGGAGCAACATATTTTTGAGCAACAAAGAAATATTTGCTCTATGGGGGAGAAAATGCAGGGAGCCGAGTGCAGTTTAGCCTCTAGGAGAAACTCTGCTGTGGCTGGGGGAAACTGGGCAAGAAAAGCCCTCGACCTTACTGGCCTTCTTCCCTGCACAGGGGGTTTTGTGCTCCTGGACGGGGAGACCTTTGAGGTGAAGGGGACGTGGGAGCGGCCTGGGGGTGCCGCACCCATGGGCTATGACTTCTGGTACCAGCCTCGACACAATGTCATGATCAGCACCGAATGGGCACCTCCTAATGTCTTAAAAGATGGCTTCAATCCAGCTCATGTGGAGGCAGGTGAGAACCACCCCAGGGTCTGGCAGGAGCCTTGGGCCCATGTCCTCTGTTTCTTTTCCCAAATACCCCTCTAGACCTACAGCCCTCTTTTCCCCCTCCTATAGATACAGACTGTTGGTTAATGGTAGATTTGGTCCTGTCCTCGGAACCCATTTTCCAACCCTCTGCTCTAGTCTTTGCCATCTGGCCCTGATTCTGAGACTAGTCTTGGGTCTCACCCTCACTCCAGGACTCTATGGAAGCAGCATCCACGTGTGGGACTGGCAGCGCCATGAGATCATCCAGACCCTGCCTATGAAGGATGGGCTCATTCCCCTGGAGGTCCGCTTCCTGCACAACCCAGACGCTGCCCAGGGTTTTGTGGGCTGTGCCCTCAGCTCCACCATCCAGCACTTCTACAAGAATGAGGTGACTTATGCCCCTCCCAGCAGGCTCAGCACCTGTGGCCAGGCTTCAGGGCCCATGCTCCCTGGTTCCACCAGCTCAGGCTTCTCCAGGAACAGAAACAAGGCCACATGCCCTGCCTCTCTTCTCTTGGTGCCAGACTCATCTGAGTCTGTTTTTTGTTGCCACAATTAAATATCACAGACATGGGAATAAAGAATAGAGGCTCATGAGTCTAGAGGTTGAAAAATCCAAGGTTGAGGAAGGGTATCTGGTAAGAGCTTTCTTACTAGTAGTGATTTGTGTGTGTGTGTGTGTGTGTGTGTGTTTATGTGTGTGTATATGTGCACATGCATATGTCTGCATGCACACACACACAGGCACATAATCCTGAGGCTTGAACTCAGGGTCTGAACTCCATCCCTGAGCTTTTGTGCTCAAGGACAGTACTCGACCACTTGAGGTACAGCTCCATTTTTGGCTTTTTGAAGGAAAGAGTCTCATAGACTTTTCTTCCTTGGGCTGGCTTTGAACCGTGATCCTCAGATCTCAGCCTTTTGAGTAGCTAGGATTACAGATGTGAGCCACCAGCACTTGGGCTAGTCCTGAGACAGCATAGGACACCACCTGGTGACAGTGGCATGTATAAGAGAAAAATTAGCCTTTATAACAAACCCATGCAGGAAATAACCCATTAACCATCCCCCAGAGATGGGGGACCATCTCTCTGCCAAAGGCCATTTGGATACTTATAATGATCAATACAGGAAGACAGCCAACAAGCACAGGAGAAACCCTACATGTCTACCTATTGGACCAAATGCTTTGGAGGGGCTTATATGGCCTTACAATGAGGATTACATTTCAACATGAGTACACTTGAAGCCAGGTTTGAGCAAAAAAGCCAGGTGATGGCATGAAGCCCTGAGTCTAATACTGTCACACAAGAAAAGTACACTTGAAGCCTAACTGACCATATTATTAGGCTGATTCACAAACAATTTAGTGATCTTGTATGTCAGGTACTTCTGACAAGAAGCGCCAGCCATGTCATGGGGAAGTAGTCACTTTCCTGCCTTAAGGAAGGAGACCCTACTGGCAAGAAGACTCTGCTTCTACAGGCTTCTTCCTAGCTCCTGACTGATGGGTGCCGCTCTCTGCCTCCTAACCCCACCCTCCACTCTCTGCTGTAGGGAGGTACTTGGTCAGTGGAGAAGGTGATTCAGGTGCCGTCCAAGAAAGTGAAGGGCTGGCTGCTGCCAGAAATGCCAGGTGAGTGCTTAGGAGGGGTGGAATCAGAAGCTTGATTCCAGCCTGGGAAGCAAGAAGGCCTTTAAGCACCTGAACCCACTCTCCCAGGCTTGATTACTGACATCTTGGTGTCACTGGATGACCGCTTCCTCTACTTCAGCAACTGGCTGCACGGCGATGTGCGGCAGTATGACATCTCTAACCCCCGCCAGCCCCGCCTCGCGGGACAGGTAGGGACTGAGCCAGAAAAGAGGAGGGGGGGGGAGTCTGCGATGGAAAGAAGGCTGTGAAGGAGCTGGAGGAGGATGAGGGAGGAACATGTAAAGCATAACTGTAGGCTCAGGATGGTGGAAGCCAGGGGGGACAAGGATGTGTGTAGAAGGAGTGAAGGGCCCTCCCAGAGGCAAGCTGCTTCCTACCATGTCTTTGCCTCTCATGATTGTCCCCCACTTTGTCCCTTGCAACCCCCCACCACATCCAGATCTTCCTTGGGGGCAGCATTGTTAAGGGAGGCCCTGTGCAAGTGCTAGAGGATCCGGAACTGAAGTGCCAGCCAGAGCCACTGGTGGTCAAGGTGAGGAGTGTCCCCTCTTTGCAGGCCCCCCTTGCCTCCACTGCTCGAGGAGGAAGTAGGGCACCTGGGAGCATGTGTTGGGGATGTGGGTGCTGCTTGCAGTTCCCTCCTCAGATCTGGGTGCTACCTTGTGGTCTAACCCTTGGTTTCGCCCAGGGAAAGCGGGTGCCTGGAGGCCCTCAGATGATCCAGCTTAGCCTGGACGGCAAGCGTCTCTACCTCACCACATCCCTGTACAGTGCGTGGGACAAGCAGTTTTACCCCGACCTCGTCAGGTGAGAGGTTCACCTCTCCCACCTTCCTTTCCCAGAGGCTTCCTGAAGACTCCTGTCTCCAGGAACCCACCCTGTATAACTCAGCATCCTTTACCCCCTTCCTCTTTCTACCAGGGAAGGCTCGGTGATGCTGCAGATTGACGTAGACACAGTAAACGGAGGCCTGAAGCTGAACCCCAATTTCCTGGTGGATTTTGGGAAGGAGCCCCTGGGCCCAGCCTTAGCCCATGAACTCCGCTACCCAGGTGGTGACTGCACCTCTGACATTTGGATCTGAAGTCTGACCTTGGAGCCTCTTCTTCTACATCCTCAGCCTCCACTGGAGGATGAGCTTGGCTTCACTCTGCTTGCTCTTGAACCTGACCTGGGGCAGTGGGCCCCACCAAAGCCAACAGAGACGTTCCGACATCTCCCTTCCTGACCACTGTTGCTCATTGCTCACTGTGCTGTTTTTACACAAGCTCTCAGAAGCACTGGGAAATAAACTACTCTCAGATTGTCTTGTCTCTGGGAACACCTGACTCCTCTTCTGCTCACCCATCCTTTCCTGAATGGAGGGGCCTGGAGAGGATTCCAAGGGAGTCAGTGATGATTACTTCACACCAGGGATGCTAATGACACCTCAATTAAGATTGGGGATCATATAGAACTTAATAATTTGAAGTGTGATTGCCACAAGGAGACCTGAGGACAGAGAATGTCAATTAGTATTTCTACCCTATTTTAAAACTCATGCTTATTATTATAAAGGTGATGTACAGAGGTTTTACAATTACATAAATCAGATAGTGAGTACATTTCTTCTTCTTCTTCTTCTTTTTTTTTTTTGGTCGGTCGTGGGACTTGAACTCTGGGCCTGGGCACTGTCCCTCAGCTCTTCAGCTCAAGGAGAGCACTCTACCACTTGGAGATAAGAGTCTTATGAACTTTCCTGCCCAGGGTGGCTTTGAACTGCAATCCTCAGATTTCAGCCTCCTGAGTAGCTAGGATTACAGGCGTGAGCCACCAGCACCCGGCTATGACTACATTTTCTTTTTTTTTTTGGGGGGGGGTCCAGTTGTCGGGCCTGAGCTCTGGGCCTGGGAACTGTCCCTCAGCTCTTCAGCTCAAGGCTAGCGCTCTACCACTTGAGCCACAGCGCCACTTCTGGCTTTTTTCTTTTTGCTTATGTGGTGCTGAGGAATCGAACCCAGGGCCTCATGCATGCAAGGCAAACACTCTACCACTGAGCCACCTTCCCAGCCCCGACTACACTTCTTTTTGGACAACTGTCACCCCTTCCCTTGCTCTCTCCCTGTTTTTCCCTCCCAGCTCACTCACAAGTTGTATAGCTCACTTTCAACATAGTGTCTAGTGAGCACCACGGCTGCATTTGTTGGCCCTTTGTCCCTCCATTTCTGTGCATGCATTCTTTTAATGGAACTAAAATCTTAACACCTCTAAAGGAATATAATGTGAATCTTCACACACACCCTGGACCTCTCATGTAGGTAGTTTAAATGATTTCTACCATGAGTGAGACTGCTGGCAGAACTTTCTATTGTTTCTATCTCCCACTTGGAAGACAGGAACATGACCCTGCAGGAGGTCTGGGAACACCAAGGTAAACAGCCTAACATGGTCATGGTAGTTTTGCCTCCACCTGTACAGTGCTTTAGAACCTTGCCTAAATCAGACATTCAAACTTGGCTCTGGGAGATGGAGGTGAGGTTCAGGTGGTAGAGTGCCGGCCAATGAGAGAAATCGTCGAGTCCCAGTCTCAGAAAAAAACCAAAACCAAAACAAAACAAAAAAAACAACTAAACACAACTCTGTTCTCTCTGCTATCCTTTTCTTTCTCTCTATCTCTATCTTTCTTTTTTCTTTCCTTTCTCTCTTTCTCTCTCCTCACTTTTTTTCTTTTTAGCAGTACTGGAGTTTGAACTAAAGGCCTTACATCTGTTAGACAGGCACTAGAGTGAACTGCTCCATTTGTACCTTTCTTTATATGTTGGTTATTTTATTGAGATAGAGTCTTCCCTATGCCCCTGGGCATAGAGGAGTGAGTATGTACCTGCCAGTATTGACATTTGAACTCAGAGCCTCTTTCTCTCACTTGCCTTTTTCATTCAAGGCTGACACTCTACCACTTGACTCATACCTCCACTTGTAGCCTTGTGCTGTTTATTCTGAAGATAAGAGTCTTATGGACTTTTATGCCCAAGCTGTCTTCAAATTGTGATCCTCAGATCTCAGCCTCCTGAGTATCTAGGATTACAAGCTCCAGCACTCAGCTCAGGGAAATTATTGGAGACAATTGGGTTATACCTAAAAACACATGATATATCTGACAAAAGATACATATTCTGCTCCCAGAGCACATGGAAAACTCTCAAAACTCAACAGCAGAAAATTAAACACTAGTGGGCTGAGAATGTGGCTTAGTGGTAGAGTGCTTACCCAGCATTCATGAAGCCCTGGGTTCAGTTCCTCAGTACCACATAAACAGAAAATGCTGGAAGTGGCTCTGTGGCTAAAGTGGTAGAGTGCTAGCCTTGAGCAAAAGAAGTTCAAGGACAGTGCCCAGGTCCAAAGTTCAAGCCCCAGGACTGGCCAAAAAACAAAAGCAAAACAGAAGGCGGGAGAGCATGTTAGGCAATATTCCATGCTGGGGGAGGGAGGAGGAGGGAGGATTAGAGGGAGGTAGAGAGAAAAAGAGAGAGAGAGAGAGGCTGTACTTATATCTCAGATCCAGCACATGCTTAGCATGTGTACAGCTCTGGGTCCAATCCCCCTAGCATCAAAGAGATGATGATTATGATGATGATGATGATATGAAATAGCAACAATGTATAGAAACGAGATCATTCATACATTGTTGGTGAAAATGTTAAAAAGAAACTCACTCTAAAAAGTAGGGATTTTTTGTTTGCCAGTCCTGGGGCTTGAACTCAGGGCCTGGACACTGTCTCTGAACTTCTTTTGCTAAAGGCTGGCACTCTACCACTTGAGCCACAGTGCTATTTCCAGCTTTTTCTGTTTATGTGATACTGAAGAATCAAACTCAGGGCTTCATGCATGCAAGGCAAGCATTCTACCACTAAGCCATATTCCCAAACCTAAAAAATGATTTGAACTGAGAGAGAGTGAAAGGGTGACATTGTCCAAAAAGAAATACACTCATTACCTAACTTATATAACTGTGACCCCTCTCTATATCACCTTTATAATAGCAATGAAAGGGCTAGGAATGTGGCTTAGTGGTAAAGTTCAGATAAAAACTACCATACTAGGGCTGGGAAGGTGGCTCAGTGGTAGAGCGCTTGCCTTGCATGCATGAGGCCCTGGGTTCAATTCCTCAGCACCACATAAACAAAAACAAGAAAAAAGCTGGAAGTGGCGCTGTGGCTCAAGTAGTAGAGCGCTAGCCTTGAGCTGAAGAGCTGAGGGACAGCACCCAGGCCCAGAGTTCAGGCCCCATGACCAGACCCAAAAAAAAACCAAAACTACCATACCATTTATAAAGCTTTTTTATTTAAGGTACTAGGGTTTAAACTCAGGGCCTTGTACTTGCTACACAAGTGCTCTACCATTGAAGCCACACCCCCAGGCCCATTTTTATAACACCCTTGAAACGAGAGAGTCATAGAATAAGAGAACAGGGTAGTGGTTGTCAGGAGCTCAGGATGGGAGTGGTGTGGGACGTGAATAAGTCTTTTAAAGGATACCAGAGGGGAAACTTCTGTGTCATAACTAAAGAGTTGGTTACACAAGTCTACAATAGAATTACACAGGATTAAATACATATACACACAATGAGAGCTTATAAAAGTGGTAAAATCTAAGTTCAGTAGACTAAATCAACTTCCTGATTGTACTATTATACTAAGGTTACATAATATGTACCACTGATAGAAACAGGGTAAAAGGCACATGAGATCACTCTGTATAAATTCCTGCAACTATGAGTCTACTATTATCTCCAAATATAAAGTAACACAGATGACAATTAGAAAAAGTATCCATTGGCCAAAAATGGAACAACTAGATATAAAAAAGAGCAATATTCAAAGAGATTACAATACATAAATATGTTAACATCTTAAACTGTTGATAACACTCACCCAGAACTCTCATTAATCATCTTTGGAAGATGTTAGGATATCATCTCATTATTCTGAAAAAAATAGAACATAAAGAAAAAAAATCAAGGCCGGGTGCTGGTGGCTCACACCTGCAATCCTAACTACTCAGGAGGCTGAGATCTGAGGATTGCAGTTCTAAGCCAATGCAGGAAGCTCTGTGAGACCCTTTTTTTGGGGGGTGGGGTCTGGTCATGGGCCTGAACTCTGGGCCTGGGCACTGTCCCTCAGGTCTTCAGCTCAAGGCTAGCACTCTACCAGTTTTTGTTTTTGTTTTTTTTCTGCTTATGTGGTGCTGAGGAATCGAACCCAGGGCCTCAAGCATGCAAGGCAAGCACTCTACCACTGAGCCACCTTCCCAGCCCCACTCTGTGAAACTCTTATCTCCAATTAACCACCAAAAGAAGCCAGCATTGAAGCTGTGGTTCATGTGGTAGAGTGCTCACCTTGAGCTAAAGAGCTGAGGGACAGCGCCCAAGTCCAGAGTTCAAGCCCCATGACCAACAAAAATAAAAAAAAAGAATTTGCCTTTGGCCAGATGCTGGTAGCTGGGGCCTGTAATCTTCAAGAGACTGAAATCTCAGGATCATGGTTCAAAGCACAGGCAGACATATCTGAGAGATTCTTATCTCCAATTAACAAACAAAAAACCAGAAGTGGAGGTTTTGCTCAAGGGACAGAGCACCAGCCATGAAGGAAAAGGCTGGATGAGAGTGCAGGGCACTGAGTTCAAGCCCTGATATTGGAACAAACAACAAAGAATGCCATAACAACTAAAACCTATAGATGAGCCTGCCTACCTCATGCTCTGGCCCATAGAATTGATTTAGGACTTCCTTTTGTTCTGTAACTATAAAAGTTCAAGCCACCTCTTCTATATTGGAGCCTGTCATTGAAGGTCAATTTAAATCTTTGTTCCCAGGCCAAGATTCCACTGATGAATGACTCAGAATAAACTTCTAATTTTTCCTTAAAAATCCACAAAACAGCCATTATTTTACATTGCCAGATATGATAATAAAAATACAGAATGTAGGAAATTCCATAGAGCAAATCATCTGTTTTCTGAACAAATAAATAGAGAAAGTCAGAATACAGATTTGAAAGATTTAAGAAATAGATGAACAAAACCTAAATGCAACATGTAAACTTTGTTGATCCCAATTTCAAATTACTGGAAAAGAAATTCATCTTTCAAGAAAAGCGGGAAAATTTGAACACTGTATGTAGGATGATATTAAGATTTTATTTTTAATATATTTAGGTGTGATAGTCACATAGGGTTATATAAAAAGAGAGCTTTTTTAAACTTTAGCAGTACTGGGATTTTGAACTCTCAAGTTTGCTAGGCAAGCACTGTAACACTTAAGCCACACC